TTTGTGGCGGCTTCTTAGCCGGCTTTTCGGGGGTTTTTCGTAGGTTGAATCGTGAACAGTATCTTATATAACTTCATTGCTTAATTATATTCATAGTTATAGCTTTGGCTGTCGATGTAAAACTTTTTACGGTTACAGCTTTGGCTATCGATGTAGAACTTTTTTTACGAACATCACAGACACTAGCAACCCCATTTCTTATTTTTCAGTCGAATTTCAAAAACAAATCTTTTCTAGGATCAGCAGCAACCGATGTTTCAAAAACAATCTATGATTTCAAAGCCTTCGACGCTAATTATAACGAAATATCGCTTGATAAATACAGGTTTCTTTCAAATATTTCTCACAATTATTCTTCATGAAACACTACGCTAAAGCACCAAGCTTAGGTTTTTTTTTCTTGCGAGTGCTTTCTGCGCCGGATATAATTCCGTGTAGAGCTGTTTAGAAATAATACTGCTATCACCGTGAAATTTTTTCTGCTCGCCCCTCATTATCATAATTTTTAAGGGATTCAAGCGAATTAAATTGGCGGGGAACATGGAAGAAGGTGTGGGGGGAGGGGAGTGGGGAGAAAGCATTTTCCTCGTGTAGAAAGGAAAAGAATGAGATACTGGCTGAGTTTATCTCGAGAATTGCTTAACATCATTCGTGGGCATATCCGAAATACCTGGAAGAGCTGCTTTCTGTGCAGCTAGCAATGAGAAAAATTTCAAACTCTCGGAATTGAAGATGATGAGGCCTTAAGGAAGAAGAATAATCAGTAACGTGAAAGATGTCGTCTGTGTTTCATCCCTTAGCTGTAAACAGACAGGACAGAGCGGGCAGGCAAGCATCGGTGCATCATCAGCACTTCGTCTAGAGGCTTTTTTGACGTTGTTAAATAATATTCCTTATAATATTACTTACTAATATTACTTATTACTTATTATTATTTTTCTAGTATGGTCCCACGTGCTATGAATATGACTTCGTTCCGGATTCTTTTTTCAAATTTTGGACCGAATTAATCAGAAAAATTTCTCTTTAAAAAAATCACATGTTTCATTAGAACGACATCTTCCTCCTTCATCAAAATTGCTTCCCCTTTCTTCCCACTGTATTCTTTTACAGCCAAAGAATCCTATGCTCAAACAGTGTTGACTATTGGTTTAGCGTATTTTAATAAAATCAGGACCAAAAAAAAAGTTTGATTATGGTTGTTCAGGGGTAAAGTGGTTTTGATAGTGAACGTAGCATCGGAATGTGGTCTTACAAATACGAATTACAATCAACTGAAACAACTTTATGACAAATATTCGAGCCGTGGCCTGGCAATAGCTGCTTTTCCATGCAATCAATTCGGTGGTCAGGTGAATCAATTTTCTCTAATTCAATTAGCAAAAGTAATTTTTGCTCCATTTATTATGCGTTTTTTACTGCAATAGTAAGCAAAAAGCATATCGACTATTTTTGCACAGACCAAAGTGTAAAACAGTGAAAATCTTTAGCAGGCAAACGTCCGCTGGATGTGTTAACAAATATTTTTTTTTCAGGAACCAGGGAGTGAAGACGAAATCAAACGCTTTATCAAAAATACATTCAATTTCGAGCCCGACCTTTATGCGAAAGTTGATGTGAACGGGCCCACTGAGCACCCGTTGTACGCATTTTTGAAAGAGCAGCAAGGTGGCACGCTGGGCGATGATATAAAATGGAATTTTACGAAATTCCTTGTGGACAGAAATGGCCAAGTGGTAAGCCGCTTTATTTATAAAAGCTGTTTCTCGCTTCTCTTCGTTTTGAGATGCTTCATCCTTTAAACAACTCAAGATTTTTTTAACGGCAGAATTTTCTGTTGGGAAATTTATGTTTATGGAATTTTTGCAAGTTTCTAGTTGCCTTTAATGCTGTTTTGGGCGGATTCTGCTAATTTTTAATGAAATTATGTTTTTTTTCTAGCAGTTCCTCGTAATATTTCCTGTCTCTATGACTATTTTTTCTCCATTTTTTACGATTTTGCATCACTACGATTTTACTTCACTTGCAGTAAATTTTCGTACTGAACGAAATGTTAAAGTAAATTTTTGTTTTTAATTTTTTGCGGTCGATTTTCGCTGCTCTTTCACAGCAAGTGAGGAGCAAACTATCTTAATTTTACACAGGATTTTCGTTCGCACAAACTGTTTCCTGTTTTTTTGCAGGTAAATCGTTATGCGCCAACGACACAGCCAAACGATATTGAAGACGACATAGTGAAACTTTTAAATGAGCATGCCGATCTGTGAACTTTCGTTCCATCCGATTAAGCAGTGTGTCTTTTGTGTTTACAGCTAAGGGATGAAACACAGACTGCATCGTAAAATGTCCTTTCACGCATGATATCTAAGTAAAATCCTTTTGTTCTACTATTTTATGTTATGGTGCTACATTTTTTACGTTGCTTGTCGAAGTGGTGCTTGCAAATTTTTGTATTTTTTCAAGAATTCTTTATTGCATTTATGCTACCATAATAACTTATTTTTTCAGGTTTTTCAAGTATTTCTCGAGTATGCTTTTGCAGCAACGCTGCTGTTATTTTAAATGCAGTGGCGTACCTGAATTCCAAGAAAAAAGGGGGAAAAAGACGCATTTAACCTTGGTGCCTCGTGTTCCTCCTGATACCTTGCTCAGGAGGCCTTGTTCAACACAGAACTACGGTTTTAGCAGCTTTCTTCAGTGCAGTTTTGTGAAATTTTGCTAAAAATCTCTATGCCTCTGACTGAATTTTGTGTCTCTTTGGCCATATTTCACGCCGGCTGACGTATTCTCATGTATATTTCCCTCACGTTGACACTTTCGGAGATCCCTTCCCTAGATTCCGACCTCTCTTTTTCCTCACAAAAAAAAGTAAAAAAAAAATTCAGCGGGTTCTGCTCTCCTTCATTTACGCTATAGGTTATATTAACTGAATTTTGTGTTCCTCAAACCATATTTCGCGCTTGCTGAGTTATTCTCTTGTATATTTCCCTCCCATTAAAAATTTCAGAGTTTCCTTCCTCGGGACTCGACCTCTGTTTTTTCCTCACAAAAAAAAAGCGAAAAAAGAAATCAGCGGGGGTTCTGTTCTCCTTCACGTACGCCACTGATTATATTAACTAGATTGTGATGGTTTTGTACTGCTTTCATAGGCTTATAGCAATAAAGATTGAAATTTTTATTTCATGTACTTTCCATTCTCTGCCCGAACAGTGAATCCATACTTTTCACTATAACTATTTGTACATTTTATACTGAGAAATTAGGCGATCGTGGACTATAAATCGTGGACTCGTGGACTATAAATAATACTGCCAATGTGTTCTCAGTATCGTCACTCATAGATCGTGATGAAGGTACCATACGACAAGAGGAAAACTTAAATTTTTAGAGCGATGTGATTACGAAAAATATGAAATCGTAAGTGGAGAATTTGCCAGCTTTGTAGATGGGAGCTAATTCAGGTACGGAAACATAAGCCTTCATACGCGGATCCAAGACGGACTCCTGGGGGAGGAAAGGGCGACGGGTGATGGGGAGAAAAGTTCCCTCCCACCCTGGAGCTATGCAAAAACTAGGAATAGAGTTGTAACACACTGCTACTTAGAGTTA